TGAAAATGAAGCTTTTGCATCTCGTGCTTATTTTTACATTCAGATTTTTAATAGCAGTTGTTTTTATATAATTTTCATTATTACTGTCTTAAGAGTAGAAGTGCACTTCCAATGCAAACACCAGGTTGGATTTGAGTCCGCAAAAGGTTTTAGATTTTTAAGTAACCAATTCCACAAAAGTGAAATACTTACTGCAACTCCTTATATGTGCTTTATTTAGGTGGCAAAGGGACATTCAATCACAGAAATATGTCATTTTTAATACGCTAGCTGACTATCTGGTTCTAACGAGCAATTTTCAAGACAATTCATTCCTGATTTAATTGACAATATTAAAGATGCGGGCTGACTATTCAGTCGATGAACTCAATTAGCATGACTCCCAGTGACTTGACACCCCTATGACTATAGAGTAGTGTTTGTTATCATTTCTGATTAGGAATAAATTTACCCAGGAGATTCAATCGAGAATATATTTGAGCAGCAGAAACGTTCAACTATAGTATGTTGATCTGCTATTCGGTCGGTCAAGACTTCAAAACAAATTAATGTGGCATACTTCGAGGAAATGGTTCTCCAGTGTAAAGCACTAATATATATATATATATATATATAACCTCGCCTAGATTACTAGGTCACTAGTATTCTAGCCGGTCCCAAGCCCGGATAAAGAGGGAGGGTTGGGGCGTGGTGCTAGCAACTCCACCCCCAAAACTTAACCAAATTGCTACTAAAACTTCAACGCACAAATATATTCAAAATTCTAAAATTACAAATAGTGACCTTATTTTTCGCTGGAATCGGGGAAGTGAAATGACGCAGGCTGGTGAAAGCCTTCGGGAAGCCAGTCAGCCGATGTGCCTTCTTTCGATGAAAGCGAAAATAAGGATGGGGACGTGGAATGTTCGTACAATGTACGAAGCTGGGAAGGCTGCTCAGGTAGCCGCAGAAATGAGGAGATATAGAATAGAAGTGTTGGGAATCTGCGAGAGCAGATGGAACGGATGTGGAAGGAGCCAACTATCAACTGGAGAGACAATAATCTACTCCGGTCACCCAGAGGACAATCACGAGCACACCGAGGGAGTAGCCATCATGATGTCACCAACAGCAACCAAAGCTCTCATGCAGTGGGAACCAATCTCCTCCAGGATAATGACAGCCAGGTTCAACTCAAAAGGAAAAAAGGTTACAATCATTCAGTGCTACGCGCCTACAAACGCCTCAGAACATGAGAAGAAGGAGGATTTCTACAGTCAACTGCAAACAGTAATGGACAACGTCCCAAAGAGCGATATCAAAATCCTGATGGGCGACATGAATGCGAAACTGGGAGGAGACAATACAGGAAGAGAACTCACCATGGGTCGTGAGGCCCTCGGTGAAATGAACGAAAATGGTGAACTCTTCTCAGACTTCTGCGCCTTCAATGATTTGGTGATTGGTGGCAGTGTGTTCAAACACAGGGATATACACAAGGCAACATGGATTTCACCAGATGGACACACCAAAAACCAGATAGACTTCATCTCAATCTCAAGGAAGTGGAGACGGAGCCTACTGGACACAAGATCGAGGAGAGGAGCAGATGTGGGTTCAGACCACTATCTGGTACAAGGGACTTTCAAGGTGAAGCTAAGAACTTTGGAGACAGCTGGGGATAGGCCATAATGCAAGTTCAACACGCAAAAACTGAAGGACACAATCACACAGGACATTTTCACTGCAACTGTCAGAGCAAAGCAGGAAACACTACGTGGCACCACTGAGGAATCATCCGTGGAAGACCATTGGAACTCTCTGAAGGTAATTTTCAACGAAACGTGCTCAACGGTTTTAGGAGGAAAGAAGAAACAAGACAAGGAATGGCTCTCAACAGACACTTGGAAGCTAATAGAGGAGAGGAGAATGGTGAGAGAGAAAATGATTCAATGCAAAGATGGACAAGAGAAAGAGACGCTGAACTCAACTTACACAGCACTGGACAAAGAAGTGAAGAAGAGTGCCAGGAAGGACAAAAGACAATTCTACGACAACCTGGCTACTGAAGCTGAGAAGGCAGCAGGCAAAAGGGACCTGAGGACACTATATCAGATAACCAAGTCTCTATCCGGGAAGAGATCAACACAAGTGAAACCTATAAAAGACAGCCAAGGGAACCCAATTACCAAAGAAGAAAGACAGATTAAACAATGGGCGGACCACTTCAAAGGACTCTTGAACCGACCACCACCTACAACCCGTCCAGTAATACCAACAACAGCACATACACAACTGCAAGTTGACACCAATCCTCCAACGAAAACTGAAGTCATGAATGCAATCAAGCTTCTGAAAGCTGGAAAAGCAGCTGGACCAGATGGAATACCCCCGGAAGCACTGAAAGCGGACCCAGAAACGACGGCAGATATGCTGACTCCATTATTGCAAAAGATCTGGAAAGAGGGAAAGGTGCCTACTGACTGGAGGAAAGGTTACCTGGTGAAACTACCAAAGAAGGGCGACCTGGGACTCTGCAAGAACTGGCGAGGAATCATGCTCCTGTCGACGCCAAGTAAAATCCTGAGTCGCATCATCCTGGAGAGAATCAAGGACGCGCTGGATACAGAACTCCGACCAGAACAAGCTGGATTCAGGAAAGGCAAATCATGTTCTGACCAAATTGCAACTCTACGCATTATCATCGAACAAAGCATGGAATGGCAATCAAATCTCTACCTCAACTTCATAGACTTTGAGAAGGCCTTCGACAGCGTTGACCGCGAAGTAATTTGGAAACTACTCGAGTACTACGGCGTACCCCAAATATTCATCAACCTTATTCAACAACTGTACGACAATGGCACATGTCAAGTGATCCACAACGGAAAACTCAGCGAAGCGTTTGGAGTAAACACAGGAGTCAGACAAGGGTGCTTATTATCACCAATAATATTCCTAATTGTTGTGGACTGGATTATGCGTCAGACAGTGGGAAACGAGAAGACAGGGATATCCTGGACCGACGTGAAGAACCTAGAAGACCTGGATTTTGCGGATGATTTATGTTTGATGTCACACAAAATCGAAGACTTACAAGCAAAAACCGACAAACTGGTCGAAGAAGCAGCAAAGACAGGACTCCAGGTGAACATAGACAAGACGGAGGTCATGAAAATAACCAACCAACAACAGCAGCAACATCCAGTGCCAATCACTATCAACGGGAGGGATTTGAAAGAGGTTACTTCTTTCACTTATCTGGGGAGCATTGTCTCAACCACAGGAGGGACGGACGAGGATGTCAAATCGAGAATCGGGAAGGCGAGAAACACATTCATCAACCTGAAACCAATCTGGAAATCTTCGTCACTCACCATCAACAACAAAATTCGGATTTTCAATACAAACGTCAAGTCAATTTTGCTTTACGGATCAGAAACTTGGCGGGTCACCAAGAATATTTTCAACAGGTTGCAGACCTTTATCAACAACTGTCTTCGCTCCATACTGAAGATTAGATGGCCAGAAAGAATCACAAACAAGAAGCTATGGGAACAAACGAAACAGGAACCAATCGCCCAACAAATATGCAGGAGGAAGTGGAGATGGATTGGACACTCGCTGAGGAGGCCGTTGAGTGACATCACGCGTCAAGCCCTCGAGTGGAACCCGAAAGGGAAGCGGCGAGTGGGACGTCCAAGGGTGACATGGAGGAGATCGTGTGAGGAGGAGATGAAACAGTATGGAATAACATGGACGCAAGTGAAAAGAACAGCAGAAGACAGAAGCAAGTGGAGACGTGCAGTTGAAGCCCTATGTTCCACTAGGAACCCAAGGGAACAATAATAATAATAATAATAATAATAATAATAATATATATATATATATATATATATAACCGTCTTCCCGAACCCAATGTGTTGCTCGCCAATACTATTAATCTGATGCATATTACTTCTTAAGCTCACAGAGATAACCGAATGTGCATAAAACTATTTAAAAATAAAGCTTAATTGTCCTTATATGCTTCCTTTTTTTTGTTTGCCTTTATATATACGACTGCAATTCAAAGGCGATATACTAAGCGAAATAATTACGAAGAAATTTAGAAAATCAGTTAGAAGAACTTTTAATGCTGGTGAACTACACGTCTTATTCTCTACACGACCGATGGCGATTCGTAGACTGAAAGATGAAGTACCTAGACTAGCCACCTCCAACTGTATCTACTAATTCAACTGCGCTTGTGGTGGAGCGAGTTCTATCGACCGTTGCTTTAGGAACTTGAATTTTCATGCTTGCTCGAGAACATCTCCCAGTAAAGATGTAGTCAAAACCATCAACAGTTCGGTATTAGACCATCTGGTCCGAACCGACCGGCCACAAAGCCAGCCAGCATTGAAGAATGCTTCTCTGTCATCATCTACCGGGTGCCAAATAAATTGCCAAGAGCATCCAGGTACCACATACTCCAAACTGCGGAGGTTATCACGATTCCTGTGAAATTACCACTACTTTGTGTGCCAAAGAAGCATGTCCAGCTAGCCACTACTACTGCCCTGAAGATCCTCCAGTAGAGACTATAAATTCATGAATTTGTATCATTATCTTTCCTAATTTTTCTGACATTCAGTTTATTGTCGATGCTATTGAACTGTAATCTACTGACATTATTATTGATTCGATGTTATTTAAACAACAACATTAATGTTGTTCAGTGAAGAGCCTGTGCGTCGCTGGCACAATGTTCGGAACTCTCGCCGACCATGAGCATGGTCCGCGGTTCGACTTCCTGCCAACGCACATCTGATATCAATGGTCGGCCTGCAAAATTTGGGCTACCGATATCACATGCTGAAAATTCCATACTTTTCCTAAAAGAAGTACTGTGTGGAATTAAGCTGTAATCAAGAAATAGAACCTGATGATGAAGTTATCGAAAAGAGTATTCTTTGTTCAGTAACCATTCTTTCGTTTGTTTGTTGACAAACCGAAAACAATGCTGCTGACAGTGAGTGATTAAAGCAGACACATCTCTACTAGATACAACTTTTTCCCCACCTCAGACAAACTTCGAAATCTCACTGTGTACTACAAACCGTTTAAACTAACAAAAAAAATAAATTAAATAATTAAGCCAAAGACACACACAGTAGTGTGACATAAAAGCACAGAAGAAAAAAACGTAAAAGAAAACTAAGCGCTTATTGTCAAAATTTTATTTTAACTTAGAGAGTAAAGAACAAAACACTGAACTGCCTAGGAAAGTAAAAGTGTGGTGAATGCACGCACTGCTGTTATTCTTGATTTCAAAACTACTTCAACAGGATAGAAAGAAAGACGATAAACATGAAAGCGCGAGAAAGGTTGGAAAAAAAGAAACAATAGTATAAAGAGGCAATTACACTTTATCATGTAACTAAATGTTGAGTAATATATGTGTATGTGGTTTCTGGCAAGTAAAAGGGGATAGAAAAACGGATAAGAAAAAGAAATGAAGGGAATAAAAACCAAGGTCAAATTCGAAGCCATCAGTCTACACACGACAAACGTCCCCAAGAAGAAGAAGGAGAAGAGGAAGAAGAATATGCATAAAAATAGAAAAATAAATTAAAAATATACACAGTGAATCTGTGTGAACGAACGTAGTATAATGGATACGATAAATACACCATTGAACAAACGAACGAGAACAGGAACAGCGGAACAAATTGTATATATTGTGTATATAATATATATTTATATTTAACGGGTGGGGTAGGCCCTCTTACCACCACCAAACCAGTTGAATTGACTTATTTTTTATGAGATTGCAATGGTAACATTTTCGGGGACCATAGAACTCTGTAAAAACAAACATGATATACATGTGAGAGAAAAAAATTTAATAGAAATAAAGATATGAAAAGAAAAAGAGGCAGTTGTCGAGTTGTGGTTATAACCCTTGTGACACACAATTTATTGATGAATGTGTCAAACAGAAACCTATAAAGTAAATAATCTGCAGCTACAACAAATAGTATACAATCAGTGTGTTGCTACAAAATTCACTCACTTAGATATGATAGAGAAGATTTGCAGCTCAGGTGGATGATTTCGGTGTAGCTGGGTTCACTGAGATGGATAGTTAATTTGCGAAGCTTTCATCGCCCTACTAGGCAACACCTTCAATTTGAAGTGTACGCTGAAGATGTGTTGCCTAGTAGGGTAATGAAAGATTCGCAAATTAACTATCCAGTACAGTGAACACAACTACATCGAAATTCACTCACTATTTCACAGCATTCTATCGTGACGTACCTGATAAGAGAGAATTTAGCTCAAATCAAACCCAGGGATGATTACTACACATACTAAACAAAGCAGTGGTATGACTTATGACTGAATATTATACAATACTGAATACCACAATCAATCACCAACAACGGGAAAGATTTAACAGAGGTTACTTCCTTCACTTATCTAAGAAGCATACTTTCAACTACAGGAGTTCGGAACTGTTGAAGATGTTTAAGTGTCAGTCAGTCAGAATAGGGAAGGCAAGATATGCACTCCTTCATCAAACTGAAACCAGTCTGGAAATCTTCTGCACTCCACCTCAGCATCACAAGGAACAGGCTTCGGATTTTCAACACCATTGTCAAGTCGGTCCTTCTATACGGGTCACGAAAAGCATTTCCAACACGCCACTGCCTTCACTCCATACTGAAGACCAAATGGTCAGGAAGAATCAGCAACAAGAAACTCTGGCTGGCTGAGAGCAAACCAACCAAGAGATAGATCGGACATCCGTTGGAGAAGCCATAGAATGACATCGCAAACAATGCAGACTATCGTTCGAGTGGAATCCGAATGAAAAGCAACCTGTGGGGTCAGACGGCCGAAGAGGACAGCAGAGAATATAACAAAGTGGAGATGTATAATTGAAGTCGTATGTTCCACTTAGAACCCAAATGAACAATAATAAAATAATGATTTATGACTAGAAACTATGCAAGTCAATATGCGTGAATAAAGCACACTTTAAGCAAATATATTTTGTGTTTAGAACTGGCTGGCAATGTCAAAAGTTTTCTGAATATGTCATCTAGCTACGATGTATCTCGCTAAGAGTTCAACCTAAGCGATGAATTGTATAAGCTCGCACTGGAATAGCAAAGCAGACTGCATTCAACTGCGACATAACCATAAGAGTAAAGGTAGTTTAGATAAGGGTGAAATGCACCCAATAAAAGACGAAGTAACAGATTTGCAAAAAAGAAAGGGAAATCAAAGGTGGTATTTTATTAGCACATACTGATTTCAAAGTCATTCACAATATCATAACACCATAGAGATTGTTTACCACTCGTCGTACAAACTCTTTAGGGTGGGGGGGAAGGTTATATTAGAATTCATCATATAAGTAAGCATGAATTTGATATGTGCGTCGGTGGCATAGCGGTTAGTACGCTCGCCGATCATGCACAAGGTCCGGGGTTCGATTCCCGGCCAACGCAGTCCTTTACCTCGTTGAGTCAGAAATAATGCTGGTGAAGAGGAAAGGTAAGGCATGAGGCTAACAACCCCATCCTGTAAATTAACACTGCTACAGCAACTTCAAATCGGTCGGTCGGTCGGTTTTCGACATAGAACTTTGCACATATGTGCGGCAGTTCAAGTCGCCACAATCTATGTAGCACGCAAAGCAAGAGAAGGAAGTAGAAGAAATGCATAATATAGACAGTAAACAGAGGTGTGAGACAAAGGAATAGTAATAACGGAGAACAAAACAGTTTAATTGGAAATCATAAGTCACAAGGAGTGGATGCATCTGCGCCACTGAGAACGATTTTGAGCCATGTCACCAATTGTTTCCAACCATTGGTTTTTACCATCCCGAGGGCCCCAACCAGGAAGTCTACATCTTCCTACGTGGCTTAGATTAACTGTTGTGGATTTCATTGATTGGTGCCATGTTTTGGTTTGACCGCCGCTAGCTCTTTTCCAGCCTGACCCTATATCAGCTAACATTGCCCGTCGAGGAAGGCGATGACTAGGCATACGTCAAATCTTCAAATCACTAGCTTGAAGCCCTATGTTCCACTGGGGAACGTGAAGGAAAAAAAATATGATATAGAAAAGTCGAAAAAAAGTAGACTCAGAAAGAAAGCGCCTTAGTTATACCTGTAAATCTGATTCAGTTTCTATTAATCCAGTAATCTGAAGCAGCTGGTATTGAGGTTGAACTAACTGTGTTATATCCACACGCATACTGCCTAAAACATCCATCCAATGATACGGTCCAAAGGACAGACGAGATATATCTGCATTGGGACTAGATACAGAATAATCTGCTGCTTTAATAATTTGACGCATAGCATCAGGCGGTACATCGGGATCTAGAACAATGAGCGCTAAGGGTTTTTCATTGTCATCCACCTAGGAAATTATAAATAAACACATAAAGCATCAGTTATAAATGTGAATACTTCAAAAATTCGACTGACGAGAAATGAGTGTTGTTGATATATACACATATAATGCATGTAGTGAATATTCATTTCATAAGGCTTTTGACTGCAAAGCCAACACTATAGTCATGATTATATCACCTTTTTAAAAAAAAATTCAGATCCACTTGACTTCATTCTCACTGACGCGTAATACTGAATGTTTTGAATTCGGAATTACTCTACTGTAGGGCTACACACATTGGGCAGCTGTTAAGGAAATTACTGGGACAACTGGATAGTCAATTTGCCATAGTTATCATTAATTTATGAAGAACATTAAATCAGTGAAATATATAACAAGGGAAAGACGCAACTACTTGATTCTACATCTTCAGATATAAAAACGCTTGATGCATGTAATGCGTTTCATCATAGATGTTCTAGTGGAATTAACCCCAACTGCTGACTTTAGTGACTCAGGGGTTGACTTGTTACCACCAGGGAATAATCTCGTTGACTTAGAATATGCAGATGGTAGAGCTTGTCGACCACTTCACTAATTTGGAAAGTTGATCGCTGACGAAATCTCAGCACGGATACAGAAGGCTAGTTTCGCATATACCAGTTTCCGCATTAGTAGACGTGATATCCGCCTGCCTGTCGACCAAAGGACGTGGATACTGCTTAACAGTTCGCTCTGTTCTCCTTTATACCTGTCTGTGAGTGACTCATGGCCATTGAGAGTGGAAGACATGAAAAGCCTAGCTAGCTGTCTTCATTCATAGGTGTCTGAGTTCTATCTCCTGTATTAGGTGGTAGGGGTAATAGGGTGAATAATATTGAGGTTAGGTATCGGTCGAGTGCTAGGTAAGGAGGGAAAATCAGTCGACAAAGTTGTGAAGTTACACCGATTGAGATGGTTAAGACATGCTTTACGCATGCCTAGCCATCGCCTTCCTAGATGGGCGATGTAAGCTGACACAGGATCAGATCAGCGAAGAGGCAGTGACGGTCAAACTAAAAAATGGTTTCATCAGTCAGTGAAATCCATAACAGCTAGGCCATACCATTTAGAGTGATGAAGACTTCCTGGTTGGTATTTCTGGGACAGTAAAAACCAATGACTGGAGACAGTCGGTTATATGGTTCAAAATTGTTCTCATTGGCGCAAATGCATCCACTATTTTCGTGTTCTTTCATATCGAACAAAATTCTATTGTTCTTCCATATTACTATTCTTTTTCGCTCACACTTCTGTTTATTATCTCTCTTTACTCTCTACTCTTGCTTTTTGTGCTACATGGGGTGTGGCAACTCGAACGGATGCACTTCTGTTGATAGTTCTATGCTGAAACCAGACAGTCATGATATAAGTTGAATAAGTCAAGTAGGAACTTTGAAAATATCCTCAACCGTGTGAAATACTACCATTATAAACATCTTCAAACCTGTATACCTTCTTCTAGTGTCACTAGACATATTCTACAACGACAAACAACTAATTCTTTAACTAGTTGATTACATATTTTACAGTTGTACAAAATGACCAATTACTCACAGTTATTCGATAATTTGTTCATTTGAGTTCATTATAAGACATGTGTTATAAAGCCTAGATTTCTTTTTATTATAGGAATAATACGTTTTAAAAAAAGCCTTCAAACAAATAAATGCTTACTTCAACACCAATTACTATGCGACTATGGCCTTCGTGTTGTAAAAGCATTGGTAATGTTGCAGGCTACGTTAAATATAAGTTAAAAAACATATAGTGAAGTCAACGACAATTGGAAAATTGCAAATACACAACAATGAAATATATATATATATATAATTATTACTGTTTCCTCTAGTTCCTAGGGGAACATAGGGCTAAAAGCCGAATGTCTCCGTTGCGTTCAGTTCTCCGCCAGCGATTTCAACTGACTCCACTTCTGCCCACATGCTTCAACCTCTTCGCATCACCTCCTCCATCTCAAACTCGCCGCTTCCTATTCACGTTCCACTCGAGCGATGGCCTGGCGTGTGATGTCACTCACTTGATGGTTGGTTTACTCAGAGTATGGCAAATCCACATCCATTTCCTCCTCCATATTTGTCGCACAATCGCTTCCTGCTGCTGGGTTGGTTCGTTCATTGCCACAGATCACACTCTGTCACTGGTCTTTTCTGGCCGGCCATCTGATCTTGAGTAGTATTGAGCAAAGACAACTGTTTATGAAGGTCTACAGTTTGTTCGAAGTGGCCTTCGTGACACGGCGCCAAGTCTCTGATCCATGTGTTAAGTAGCACTGACTTCACATTGGAGTTGAGAATCCGGATCTTATTTTTCATGCTGAATGCTGCTGATCTCCACATAGATTTAATAGTAATGAAAGCTTGCCTTGTTTTCCCGATGTTCCTCGCTTTGATATCCTCGTCAATTTCGCCCGCCTGTAATTGAAACAATACTTACCGGGTAGTTAAAGGAGGCTGCTTCTTTCAGGTTTCTCCCATTCACACTGATTGTTGTCCGTTGTTGGTGGTGTTGCTATTGGTCACGAATCTTCATCAACTACGTCTGTTTTGTCTATGTTCACCTGAAGTACTATCTTCTCTGGATGCTTGTTCTGCCAACTGGTTTCTTTTCATTTGCATATATTTCAGTGTGTGGGAAATCAGACACATATCATCGGCGAAGTCCAGATCCTTTTTGTGTGAGTCCACTTTATGCCTGTCTCCTCGCTGTCCACTATCTGACGCATTATTCAGTCTACCACAATCAGGAAAATCATTGTATTTACTAGCTGTGAACTCATTGACACCAATTACAATTTTACTTTTCATTTCAGTACTTTTATGCCTGGTTTCGCTCAGGATGTATACAAGTGGTGAATACGGTTCAAAGGTAACCATAGAGTTTATTACGTATAAAAGTACGTTGTTTGAAATTTAAGGTGAAATAAGGCAAACTGATCAATAGTCATTGAAAAGGATTTGGGCGTAATTATCACCAATATACGGAATATATAAAAGGTAACCATATTAAATTCAAGTGAGATAAAATAAAGAAGCCGTGAAGTGTATATACGTTTACAATATATAGCTTGGTGGAGTAAGTGTTTGCATAATATCGGTTCTTGATTTACGCCTATTCTAATTTATGAAACCGTTGCTCTAGGAACTTGATTTTTTATGCTCAAGAACATCTACCTGCCTGGTGTAGTTAGGAGCATCAATAGTTCCATATTAGAACACCTGGTTCAAACTGGCCACAAAGCCAATATTGAAGAGTCTTTCTCCATCATCTATCGGGTACCAAACAAATTGCCAAAAAGATCCAGGTACCGCATACTGCAAACAGCATAGGCTATCGCGATTTGCCTGAGATAACCAGTGTTCTGTGTGCAGAAGAAACCCGTCCAACCACTATTATTGCCTTGGCCTACCGTGGAGTTTGCAAATTCATAAATACCTCGATACATTGGTCTTTTTGATATGGCCCTCCATCCTTTACATACATGTAAATTCCCCTAACCCCTGTCATTACACTTGCATTAAGTATCCTATTAATTGGTTGATGGTGACTAGCAGTGGAATCCAGGATGCACATTCCATCCTTTTTGGGACTCGTCAGTTGGACGTACCTGCATTCCGCAGTGAGTGATGGTGTTCCCATCGAGGCTCGAACTCTGTGCCCATAGTTTCAAACGTCAAAGCGTTATCCACTAGACCACTTGGACCACTTCTTATTGCTCTATCTAAATTCATAAAGAGACTATTTACTTAATTACATGTACATTTTATGTATTTCCACATATTGCCAACTGGACAGATATTAATCCAGTGTGCATCAAACAAAGCAAAGGATACAATATACTAGTTACTAAGTAGTATCCAATACACTCCTACAGGACGTCAATCGCTAGTCAGAATAGTTCAATGGTGACGCCTCTGACTGCAACACTGGGTGACACAGCTTCGAATCCCAGAAGTGCCGTGAGTTCCTTCAAGAATGCAGATACGCCTTGTTGATTGCTGAGTGCCAACAAACACGTAACTTAGATCCAAGGCTTCCTTCAGATTGCCTCCAACAATCTAATTAGTATACATAAATCTCGGAAATCTAAAGTCAATAGTTCTCAATGCCGTTTCCCCACATTCACAACTACGCTTTCTTTGAAAAAAAAAAACAAAACAAGAATAACAGTACACTTAAAAAGGTGTTATACGATAATCCTAATTCAGGTTAAATGAACAAGATTTCGTGAAATTTCCTTTTCCTAGCATAAAAATAAAAGTTTCTTTTAAAAAAAACAGTTAACAAAAGAGAACTACTAGTGGACAATGATCAACAAAAAAAAAGGAAGGCTTAAATATGCAGTTTACCTCATTTGACATTGCTCTACTGTTACCTGAGGTTACATAGGAGTAGATATGCGTTAATAGGCTGTGAGAAACGAGAAATGAAACAAAAAGAAAATGTGTGACAATTCGTCATGATGATAAGATTGTGCTGCAATCAAAATAAAAAAATAAGAACAATATCTCTATCAATAACAAAGATGAAAAAGTGGGCTAATGTGTGATAACAAGAATAATTAAAAAGCATCATGATTAAACAAACACATGTTCAAGTAGACTTAGTAGTCGATAAAGGCCAAGGAAAACAAATATATGGTCGGATTTAGTAATGCTAGATTGTAAGGGGAGTAAATAAACCGTGTTTCAATGAAGATGTAATACGATTAAGGGATGACAACACAGGGGTTGGAAATATTAGTCGGGGTGATGGTGACGTCATCAGCCATATATATATATATATATATATATATATATATATATATATATACTACGTGTGAGAATAAATGCTTGCTTATTGATACCAATGAAATATCACATTGTACTCTATAAATATTACTGAACTGATTAATAAGAGACCGCAATAGCGAACCACTTAGAATGTTGGCCACATTGTAAACTTGATTGATAGAATTCAGTCTGCACGAAACAAAGTGTACTAGACGAATGACACTAGTGTCTAATCAAAACAAAACATTAATTATGAGAAGATAAGTACGTCTGAAGGTAAGTCTATCCATAGTCCTCCTTATTGAAGACAACATCAGAGGAGAGTAAAAGCGGAATGGCTAGAAAAGACGTCAATTACTGTCTACCAACTTTGGCTAGCAGCTAGGTCTCACCATGTAACAACAGAAGACAAGGGCCAGGCAACACATCGTTTATTAAGGAAAATCAACACATATTTATAGATTTTAATGTACATTATTGTAGATTATTGTCAGTTGAAAATACAGTCTTTTGATTGGTTGCTTCTCACAGAAAGTTAACCTTGCATTTCTTTGTGGCTGAGTCAGATCATCCATATGCTAACTGTATCCGCCTACGCAAAGCCTTTGTTCTCACTTTCTCACCACCAATATTAGGGACATAAACATTGACGTTAATTACTGTCAACCAACTTTGGCTAGCAGCCAGCTCTCACCACACAGTGTGTAGTAATAGTCAAAAACACTAATAATGAACAGACAGATGTGAATGACGCTATTGCAAGGACAATCCTTGAATCTCTCATAACTCATAATCGACAGGTAGACAAGAGAAATACGGATCACTGGTCTTCATACGACAAGAGGTCTCAATAAAAATAAACGGATAAATTGGAACTTTTAATGACTTTCATCCAATGGTATATACGAAATGAACCCACACGGAATTCAGGATCTGCTAAACCGCTGATTCAGTTAGTCACTTCTGATTTCAAGATATATTACACCAGTAAACACAAGATTAATGATATCTTTTTCAACCCCATACTGATCTTCAGTCTATTTCTGAAGATAATGTGTACGAATTTTAGGGGCAAACAGTCACAATTTGGAAAGAGAACGGGGACTGGTGAAGGTAATACGCAAATAACTTGGAAGCATATGTACCTTGAACAGTCAAAAGCTGTTATAGATCATCCAAGTCAGAGATGAAGTCTGGTATAAGCAAAACGTTTATTAAAACAGATGGTACGTTGTCCCACAACCATCAAAATGCCAAGAAAGTTGGATGGAAAATATTTTTTTGCTTAAATTGAACTGGTTTTAGACAATTCTCTACTTTGAAAAAAATAGTCTTTTATGATAAATTAACATCGTTGTATCCAACAAATTTCAAGATGTACTATTAAAACTTATAATTAACAGCGATCCGGCGCTCCAGAATCACAAATGAGAGAATCGGTGAGGGGATTGGTCAGATTGACTGAAAAAAAGGATATCAGTCTTTAAGCAGCATTCTTCCAACATTCAATGAAAGTATCAAGAAACAGATTTCCACAAGAAACCTACATTATGTATGTAGCCTATCTCGGCGTAGGGGACATGAACTACATAAAATACACCGTGTACACATAAGATCACCTGACACTAGGCTAGCATATAGGATGATATTGATATGCATCAGTAATTACTTTAAAAAAAAGATTAAGCTTAACAAGCGTTAATATCAAACAGAATTGACATCGATTAGATAACCAACAAAGAAACTATAACATGCTGTGATGTGATTGATCCAAAACAAGCCAATCAAGAACACGCCTGAATTACGGAAGTTTCTTTTAAAAGAAAAACAAATACTAAACTGTATTTTATGAAAATAATAAATATAGAAAATATGACACACTTTTGTCGGACGTGCCCGATTCCCAACTGCTTATAGCAGTAGTATAATGGATGCCAAGTGCTACTTCGCTTATGCTTACATTTATTATTATTGTTGTTCTCTTGGGTTCCTTGTGGAACATAGGGCTTTACCTGCACGCCTCCACTTGCTTCTGTTTTCTGCTGTACTTTTCACCTGCATCCATGTTAGTCCATACTGTTTCAGTTCCTCTTCACATGATCTCCTCCATGTCACCCGTGGACGTCCTACTCACCGCTTCTCTTTCGGGTTCCACTTGAGGACCTGACGCGCGATGTCACCCAACGGCCTCCTCAGCGAGTGTCCAATCCATCTCCACTTTCTCCTGCATATTTGTTGGGCGATTGGTTCTTGTTTTGTTTGTTTCCATAGTTTCTTGTTTGTGATTCTTTCCGGCCATCTGATCTTGAGTATAGAACGAAGACAGTTGTTGATAAAGGTCTGCAACAGGCTGTTGGAAATATTCTTTGTGACCCGCCAAGTTTCTGAACCGTATAGAAGAACTGACTTGACGTTTGCATTGAAAATTCAAATTTTGTTGTTGATGTTGAGTGACGAACATGATTGCTGCTTATGGTAATCAAGCATATCGCAGTATGCATACAATTTCCACCTCGAACTGTGTGATTTGCAGCAAATGATATCACTGAAGAAAAGCTTCTTTGCGACTGGACTTCGATTAACTTTCTCCACAACACCAATGGCTCGCATGAACGTGGAGATTAGGTTAGAACTTCTGGTCTCGTCAATGTGTATCCAGGACCCCACCTGCTCCTATGGAGTTATGTACATCGACCGTACTCAGCGTCTGCTATCCAAACGTATCGTAGAAAATCTACCCACAAGGCTTTATAAAGAAGGAGTGAATTGAGTAATACACAGACGTTCTTAGGTAATTAATACGTTGGTTTAAGATTATATTTCTCATTTAACAAGGTAAAAAGAAGGCTGAATAAAATATGATTATTTTATTGGCACCTACACTTACTGATTTCTGTTATCGTGAAACCTTTGACATAAAAGTTTGCACCTACTTTACCATACTCTCTCTCACACACTCTCTAATTAGCAGTCAGTATATTTACAACATCCAATCGAACACAGCCCAACACAGAAGCATGGAGAACCAGGGGGAACTGGACAGCTGTTTCTTGCGGAACGGCAGATAATTATCCTCCGAAGAAAACATTGATTGCAATCAGCAGACCAATTCAAGTAAAAGTTAACGCTAACATACACACTGACAGGCAATTTACACATATATCTGCTACAAATGCACTGTTAATTTATGATTACTGTGTACTTCCAATGGCAGGAGAAAATCAAGAAATGGATTAATAATAGAAAAATATAACTACTTCTCTCCTCAAAAGAACAGATGCAATCCCTATTTGTAGTTAGATTGTGGGAATTCACGCATTTGTACCCAACACGAATCGACAGTAGTCGTATAATAACAGTTGTTTTTGTTTATTTTTTTCATAAGTGTGAACATCATTTAAGCTATATTATAACTGTTAATTTTGTGTTTCCCCTCTGCTGCTGCTGCTGGATTCAACATAGAACTTGGCACCGAAGTGCAGCAGTTCAAGTTGCCATACTATATCAACAGAACATTAGATCCAATAATCTGTAACATGCTAAAATTTCCAAACTGAATCGCTAATAATGTTTGAAATAAACTCACTATTATTATTATTATTATCATTATTACTATTATTATATTTGTTATACTCATTTTGTACTTCGAATATTTTTTGTCTTTATACCGTAAACATGGACAAATTCCTCTGGTTAATTTTGTTTTAATTTTTAATTTTATTTATATTTTGAGTAAATCAGATGTGCGTCGGCGGCAGAGCTATTCGAACCCTCGCCGATCATGCACATGGTCCGGGGTTCGATCCCCTGCCAACGCACACCCGATATCTATAGTCGGCCTGCAAAATTTGGGCTAACGATATCACATGCTGAAAATTCCATACTTCTACCGAAACTAATGTGTGGTTTCAAGCTATAGGAAAAATAAAAAAATAATATTGTGACAAATGCTGAGAATTCCATTCTGTATTATGAGTACTGTTTTTGGAATAAAGTAGATTATTATAATTATTAATATTATTAACTTCCTCCTCAGCCGACAGCTACGAGGAAATGATCTTGTGACCAGATGTTTTCTAACTTTGGGAGGAAGACGAAGTGTCCCAGAATGTTTATCGCCTCAGCTGAACTAATAAGCTTCCGGCTTTCAGCGTTGAAATACTTCATACAGACAAATCTTAACAAATTCTAACACCATCATAAATAAACATCCCTTCACTGCTTTCAGGCATATATCCCCTAGGCCCAAAAGTTGATCAGAACTAATTCCTTCGACTACAAAAAATTAAACAAGACGTCAACTTCTAAAAACTACTGTTTCAAAACTTAATGTCTGATTTAGACAAGGCCTAATTTTCACATAACTTTCACAACTCACTCATTAGCGAAGCAACCTTCTTATCTCTTTAATTTCAGTTTAAAAAAATATACCTTATACATATTTGCAATCCTTTACTGGTGTGAAAAATATTCATTTTTTTCAAGAATTTACAGTTTTTTTTTGTTTTTTACTGATAATCATTTCTGAACACTAGTCATATCAGTTAAAATTCTTACCCTATGTAGTAAAGCTATTAAATCAAGTTTCGCAATCTATTCATTTTTTCTGCTTCATGTATAATATCACGTGCGTTTTTC